CAACGAGATTAATCATACTTATCTCTTTCTCATTTACAATTTCTATATCTTCACTTTCATTTCTTGATGCTTCCATTCTTCTTCTAATTGTAGCCTTTATCTCTTCTCTAATAATGTCTAAATTCTTTTCAACTGCAACTTTTACTTGTTTAGTACTTTTTTGTAGCTTAATACTTTTTTGTAACAGATTTTTTATGTAATTCATATAACATTTATTACATAAAACAATCCTATTCTTCTACAATACCTCTGGCTCTATTGGTATTAAGCTCTTACGCTCAAATTCTTCCTATATTTCTCCCTGAACCAGGTAAAATTTTTTGGAATCAGTAGTTTTGTAACGGCTGCATTCATTAATTCCAGACATATTTTCACTTGGAAAATTGTATTATAAAAGTTGTGAGATTAATGAAGATTCTTTTAATATGTTATAATACAGCACGAAAGCTTCAAGTTTGCTTAGTGAAGTTGCTCACGTTTGATATATGACTTATGTAACCTAAACTTCCTAAAAAAGTATTGTAAAATATATAAAAAAATTTCTTTTATAATTGTGTAACTATGTCGTAATGATTTCCATATTTGGGATGTTCTTATCTCGAATCAGACCTAGTGATATTATAGGTTTAATAATTCATTCATTTTTTTTGTTTTTTTTTTGCATGATAAGGTCATTGATCTTGCGAGTTTAATGATAAGTATAAATAAGCCACAAAATTAAAGAGGAAAGTTGTATTTTTCTTTCACTGCTTTAGTAGTTGCTCGAAACCCTATTTTCTGGCTAATCAAAAGGTTATTCCTACTTATCTCTTCTTAAAAGAATTAAGTTTAAGTGACCATTCAAACAAGAAATAATATATCAATGCTATTCAATATAGCGAAATCATGAGATCGTACTAGAGAAATAAGGTAGCTGTATAAACCCACACTGTTTTGAGAAGTGAGTGAAGTCTGCATACATTCCAGAATCTGATTAGAGAAATAGAAATATGTTAAGAGGTTAAAGGACTGCAATAGACAATGGTAGCACTATTTCTATAGTTTTTTTCATATATATCTTAAGCATTTGAGCTGTGCAAATTATTTAGTATTTGAAATAAAATCTGAACAAAAATAAAAAGCTATTGTAATTATTAAAAATAATCAATAATAAATCTACATTATACTGTATTTATATAAAATTTTTGTTAACAACTTGAATATGCAAAATTTGTTATTATATAAATGTTGAGAATATGATTCATGACAAAATTATTGAGCAATCTTTTTGAATACTTGATTAATTGCAGATTTTGCCAAGCCAAGAATAAAAAAAATGATTGTATATAATTAAATGACAAACTCACTTAAATATAAATTTTTTGAAATTATCATTATTTAAATATCTATTATAATGATAAACACAATTGACCCGTTAAGTAAAATTTATTTCCTGATATATTGAATAAGGTTTTTAAGAATGTCTCTAAAATATTTAATTAATAAATGATAATTCTTGGCATTATTAATATGAGTATTTAAATTCAAAAAGAAAGTACAGTATAACCTTGATATAACGATAAGTTTATTTCTAATTTTTATGTTTAATTTAGCCCTGATATAATGAAATTACTAATATAATGAAACAAAATCTCTAGCTCCAAAGCTTCATTATATCTGTAAAAAGCACTATTGTTATTGCTATTATTTTTTTCTTAAGTGATTACATGTGCTGATTGTTTAGTTTCTGCTTATGAAATATCTTCGGATTTCTTTGTTTCTAGATAAAAAGTGAAATCAAATTTACAAGCAATAGTAATCATTATATTATAAATTTGATAGTGCTATTGTATACTCAAATAGTCATAAATCTCGATAATGATGTATGTATTTTTATATATGATTATTAATATATATAATTTAGTTTAAAGCTAATTTGGAATAAAAGACAATGTAAATTTTTTAAATTAACCCAAAACTGCAGACAGTTAGTAATTTAAAATTTTATAAACAATGGCGTGAATACTTTATAATGCATATATCACTATTGTTATAAAATCGATATATATAATTTTCTTCACATGTTTAACTTTTTGTATTATTCTGGTAAAGCTAATGATTTATTGTATTAATATGATGTTATTTTTGTCTTTTAATTGTACCAATAATTTATCACACTGATTTACTATACTGATTTCTCACAAGATTAATAATTTACTATACTGATTTCTTGCAAGATTAATGATTTATTGTCCTTAGTTCTATCTTTATATAAATTGTACGATTTGTTCAAAATAAATATAAATATTGGAATACCAAATATTTTGGGTTTCAACTAAAATCTCTAAAAATTTATAATTTCTATAATAATATCAACCCACTTAAATGATCTAAATTGCAATAGTGATATTGAAACTTTCGAATTGGAAGATTATTCTATAAATTGTGTAATTATGTACAAAGAAAAAAAAAATAATATCACACAATTATCATTTAGTTATTTTATAGAGGCTGAAGAGGTTTATCCATATTCTTCTACACTTTATTATACATTACCTTCTAGAATATATTCAATTTCTGATAACTATTCTGTAAAAACCACCTGGGATATAGAAAAAATCAACAAACAGTTCAAATAAGAATAGATGTTCAGAATTTCAAATTTTATTTGGCCTATCTTTTAACCATGTATTCAAATCAGATAAGTCAGCTAGTAAGGTTACAACAAAATATGATAAGGTATGGTTATTTTAAAAAAATTATATGATTATCTCACACTGAGTTTCTTTATATAAGCACCTTTCATGAAATTATCAATTTTTAAAATTTATTATTCTCACTTTCATCTCTAACAATTTATTTTAAATAAAATTCTACTTAAAAGTTGTAAATCCAAACAAAAAAAGTTCTTTATATGGGCCACTACTCTTTGGATTACAGCTTAAAATGTTTAATAAAGCTAGAAAATCACACGATAAATATACGGTCAAATCTGCTGATCAATGTTCGCAACTAGCACTTGATAATCACACAAAAATAATTGCAACAACAATCAAAGAAAATTTTATTCAAAGTATAAAATCCAATTACTATAATCAGGATTTTATTAAATTAAAGTCATTCGAATATACTATCAATAATCAAAATTATTTTATTAATTTTGAAAATGATAATCCTGTACAAAAAAAAGCTAAACTCTTAAATATAGTTAATGTAATGGATTCAAGTTATATTTTATGAGATATTTATTGAAATTTGGTGGCAACAGATTATCATCTACCATGTGAATATACTATTGCAAATGAATAAAATAACTTAACTCAAGAAATGGCTAAAGATATTTATATTAAACTTATTAATATGAATACAATGATAATGGATGAAGATTCTGATAATATAGATAAAGATTCTGATAATATAGATAAATTGAAAAATATAGATAATGAATCTAATAATTTAGATTCAGATACAATTAATAACATTATTAATTCTATAGATATAGGTGAGCAATATGATTGTAAAAGAATATTTAGATATTTAATTTCTTATTTGTTGTATAAAAACGTATTATTAGTTCACGATCTAATAATCTATTTACGAATTTCTGGTAATGGTCAGAATGTTGGATAAAAAGTCAAGCATGTTATGGTTATATTACATTCTTAATAATCAAAAAAATTGCTATATATCTAGTTATCATCATACTGTAGCTTTATATCTGGGATCAAAAAATATGAATCTCTTAAATTTATATTAGGGGAGGGCTATTTATTAGCTGATATTTTTTTATTAAGAGGCTATCCCTCTTCTCCTCTACCTGATTTTAAATAAAAATTTTAATTGGCTAAAACTATATACCTGATAATTTTTTTTACCCCCTCCCTCCCTAAAAATTAGCTAATTTCTGGCGCTTCCCTTAGGCCCATTTCTTAATGACCTTAAAGATCTTAAGCTTAATAGATTAAAGATCACTAATATCTTATGCCGGTTTGAGTTATATTTCAGTAGTGATTGGAAGTTCCTTTTGATCTGCCTTGAATTAAATACTACGAATTCTAACTATTTTTATACTTGATGTCAATGCTCTAAACATGAAATTAGTGATATAATACAAGATTGGCAAATCACCAAATTGATGGATAATTTAAAGAATAATTACTTTAATATTTCAGATCATATAAAACCGCTATTGTTTAATATGATCTAACTATGTATTTAATGAGTTATATTTATTATTATGAGTCAAAGATCAACTCTGAATGTTAATATTATCAGAAATTAAAGAATGAAATTTATTTAATGACATTAGTCGTCAAATTATTGTAATAAAATAGATTAGCTTAGTATTAAATTTCAGTTTGGAAAGAATCTGACATGTGAAAAAATATATTGTTAACCAGTGACAACAAGTGATCTTTTATATTTAAAATATTTAGCTCTTGAATGACTAAAACTTTTTTTAAAACCTGATGAGAAGGATTCAAAAGACCTATGTAATATTATCAAAGGTTTTTATTTGCTGATTCACATAACTCCCTATATTTACTTTTTGGTATTTTATAGATAGGAACTACATGAAAAACATAGACAATGGGGTTAAAAGAATTTTTATATAGTGCAGTAGAAAAAAAAATCACATATATATATCTTATTTTTTTTGAAAGACTACTCTGAATGGTAAAAATCCTCTTAAAAAAATCCAGCCACAATAGAAATTTTGGAATATGAGTCACAGAACCTTTTTTATATATATAATAATCTTCTGGTGTAGCAGAAAACTAAAAAAATCCAGATTAGATAAAATTATATAATATGTATCTTACTTTGTAATATTATAATATATGTACTATAAAAAACCTATTATTTGGTTTTTGAGAGAGATAAAAGGAAGAACTTTCTGATTTGTGATATGTTAAGCTACTAATTTCAATCACAACTGATTATATTCCTAGCATAAGACTTGACTATTGACGAAAAATACTTAAAGTTAGAATTTAAAAACTTATAAATTCAAAAGTTGCCTTTTGATATTATCTAAACAAATATTGTTCAACATATTCTTAAATGATTTAATTTAATAAAATCCTGATTATAGTAATTGGATTGTATACTTTGAATAAAATTTTCTTTGATTGTTGTTGCAATTAT